AAGACACAGCAATAGTTCTCTGACCTCCTTTCTTCTTTGTTCTTTCATCCATCCTGCTGCCTGGAATGCAGCCTGAAACATTAGCTGCTCTCGGACATGAGTTCATACACAGAGATGGAGGAGCAAACTGCTAGAAGGAACCTGGGTCTCTGAGTGCTTTATGGATCAGAGAGCTCTATGGATAATGTTCCTGGTACAGTGAAAGATAAAATACTACTTTGTTTAGCTCTTGTTTGTTTTGGCTCTTTATTATTTGAAACCAACTGAATTCTAATGGACACAGCATCTATTTTGCTCTCCCATTGTCTTCCCTCATTCCTCCACCCCTCAAATTAAGACCAGATCTTGAAAAGAGAAATGTTACATGATGCATTAAACTTTTATTAGAAAATATAGATCAATTCAGAAATTAAGGAAGCATAAAAACAGTGATTTGAAAAAAATCTCTAATTCGGTTATAAAGACTTAAATTTTCTAAAAATTCTATGTGAACAAAAAGTTCTACTTGCTTATATACAACTGAAACTACTAGCTATGTCTGCAACTGGAATCCTTAAAGTAACAGTTTCCAACTAAATATTCTGGAATCAGAGGGCTGTCCTTGGTGTTTACAAGGATTTTCTGAATGTCTTGGAAATCCAGTGGTGGAAACTGTTCCTGGCATCACCTTTACCTTCATTATGTAGCACTTATTGAAAATTTAATAGGGCACAGGAAATGGCCCTGTTCAGTGGAACGAGTAGGAGGAAGAATTTATAAGAAATAAATAAGGTATAGTCTGGCTAGGAGAAAAGTGCCAAACACCTTGAACATAACACAACTTGAGGTGAGTTACAGAGGCATATTATTAGCAAGAACAGTGTAACAGTATGTGAATAAGTGGTCAAAAATGGAAGTAACTAGGTGTGTCTTGTGACATGGTCAGTGGTGACAGTAAAAAGGAAAGAGAGTGCAGGCTCTCCCTGGTGGTGTGATGGATTAAAGCACCACATTAAGAAGCTCTCTGAAGCCACTGCAGCAAGAGTTAGACCAGACCAGGGAGGGCCCACTGGTGCAGCTCAAGGAAGCAGGTTAGTTGAGGGGAAGGACTGAGCACAGAACAGGCTCCAGACTCAGGTTCTGGAGCAGGAGCACCTTATCCGCTTAGTCACTGCTAG